ATAGATAGATAGATAGATAGATAGATAGATAGATAGATAGATAGACTCTCTTCCAGAGTGTCTCTGGTCCTAAAGCTCTAAAGTCTCTTACTTCCTGTTAGCATGTAGCATCAGGCTGAGCTCAGAGTGGAGCTGGATGCTAAAGCCTCTGTTAGATTTAGCATATAAAGCAGGTTCTGATTGGTTCTGACCCGTTCTGTGGCTCTGCAGACCATCAGCCGGGCCTTCATGAACGGCAGCGCCCTGGAGCATGTGGTGGAGTTCGGCCTAGACTACCCAGAAGGCATGGCGGTGGACTGGCTGGGGAAGAACCTGTACTGGGCCGACACCGGGACCAACCGCATCGAGGTGGCCAAACTGGACGGGCAGCACCGGCAGGTCCTGGTCTGGAAGGACCTGGACAGCCCCCGCGCTCTGGCCCTGGATCCAGCTGAGGGGTGAGAGACTAGCTCAGCCTTTAGCATTAGCTCCATTAACTCAGCCTCTAGCATTAGCTCAGCCTTTAGCATTAGCTCAGCCTTAAGCATTAGCTCAGCCTTTAGCATTAGCTCAGCTCCAGCCTGCCCTAGGTCCTGTCTGAGAGATTAGCTCAGCCTTTACCATTAGCTCAGCCTTTAGCATGAGCTTAGCCTCTAGCATGAGGTCAGCCTTTAGCTTTAGCTCAGCCTTAACCACTAGCTCAGCCTTTAACATTAGCTCAGCCTTAAGCATTAACTAAGCCTCTAGGATAAGCTCAGCCTTTTTCATAAACTCAGCCTCTAGCATTAGCTCAGCCTTTAGGATTAGCTAGGCCTCTAGCATTAGCTCGGCCTTTAAAATGAGCCCTCCTTTAGCATTAGCTCAGCTCCATCCTCCTCTAAGTTCTGGGTTATAGACCTGGATCAGGCTGGGTTTAGACCAGGTTTTCCGTGGGTTATAGACCTGGTTTGGGCTGGGTTTAGACTCGGTTTTCTAGCCAGCAGGCCCGGTTTGTCCCCTAGGTTCTGACCCGGTTCTGCACAGGTACATGTACTGGACGGAGTGGGGCGGGAAGCCAAAGATCGACCGGGCGGCGATGGACGGGACGGGCCGCGTTACGCTGGTGGCCGACGTGGGCCGGGCTAACGGGCTAACCATCGACTACGCAGAGCGCCGCCTCTACTGGACAGACCTGGACACCACGCTCATAGAGTCCTCCAACATGCTGGGTAAAGACCAGGTTATAGACCTGGATTAGGCTGGTTATAGACCTGGATCAGGCCTGGTTATAGACCTGGATCAGGCCTGGTTATAGACCTGGATCAGGCCTGGTTATAGACCTGGATCAGGCTGGTTATAGACCTGGATAAGCCTGGACACCACGCTCATAGAGTCCTCCAACATGCTGGGTAAAGACCAGGTTATAGACCTGGATCAGGCTGGGTTATAGACCTGGATCAGGCCTGATTATAGACCTGGATCAGGCTGGTTATAGACCTGGACAGACCTGGACACCACGCTCATAGAGTCCTCCAACATGCTGGGTAAAGACCAGGTTATAGACCTGGATTAGGCTGGTTATAGACCTGGATCAGGCCTGGTTATAGACCTGGATCAGGCCTGGTTATAGACCTGGATCAGGCCTGGTTATAGACCTGGATCAGGCTGGTTATAGACCTGGATAAGCCTGGACACCACGCTCATAGAGTCCTCCAACATGCTGGGTAAAGAC